TATCCATCACAGGTTCCACTCCCTGTGTCCGAATAGTTGGCGTCCCTTTCACTTTTTATTCACCGCTTGGATTGATACGTACTTAGGAAAGTTCACAGGTACAGAAAGCATCGGATATGGTGTACGGTACACCTCCTCTCTCAGGCTTGATATTGAGTTCTAGGAGTTGCGCGAGGGCTCGACTCCCGAGTACTTGGGCGAAAGTTACTGTTTGAATTCACAGTGAAAGAAGTTCCAGATAGCTCTTCAGTCCATCCCCGAGCCTGGTATTTGTCCAAGACGAATGCCGGTGAGGCGAGGAAGCCAAGAAGCCATCACTAGTAAGGCTCCAACCATTTCCATTTTAAACGTTTTAAACGGATAAAACCGTTTCTATTTCCGTTTATTTTACGGCTGTGTAAATGATAAACGGATGGTAAACAAACAGTTTAAATAGTTGTGGAGATAAACCACCTGGTGACCGATTTTTTCCAACATCTGCTGTAATTATGGTGTACAGCAAGACGGTTGAACGCTTGAGCCAACATCAAGACGTTCAACTCTCACCGTGGATACTCAATTGATGAGATATTTCCAGAACTGACCGCCCCCGGGCATTTCGGCGAAACTAAACTTGTATGTTCAGGCCCTAAATAACCCCCAGCATTGAGGTTGGAGATAGATGAGACTCTGGAAGCCATCAAGTGGCCACAAGCACTACACTCTCCTCCATTAAGCTCATTGGGGACGCGATTTTTGATGCCTAGCCGGTCTTTCCCTTGTTTCAACATGCGCCCCAGCTGCGGGACGTGTACCTCGACACTCACCCGCTCTCCTCACATTCGCTGCGATCGGCACTTCCATTGGCCCAACTCACTCGATTGGAATTGCACAGTGGAATCGAGCTCGGCGAAGCGAAGGAGATCCTGGTGCAATGTGCAATGTTACAGGAATGCGCGCTGTACAGCTTGACCAACGATGATGGCCTTGAGCCGCCGCAGCATGTGCATCAACTAGTCCCCCTCCAGCGGTTTGCAATTTCGGCCTACGACGAAATTGCCCCGGAGTTCCTTGAAGCATTCTCGTGTCCGAATCTTCTCTCTTTGGATATTTCAGCCACCACTCTCTCGCACAACGTCCTAGTCAACCTGTTGGCTGGGTCAAAATTGGGCCTAGAAGCTCTCAAACTGAATGTTCATGGGCTCAAGCTTATCCCTCTCCTCCAACAACTTCCCTCTCTCCGAACATTACATCTGGAGGATCCCGGCGCCGACGATGCACTGTTCAAGAGATATTCACGTACGACCCCCAGGAGCATGTTCCTGCTTTCGCCCTCCCTCAACTGACATCGTTAACTATCACCAACGTCACCGATAATCTGGATGGCCGGATTGTCGCCGATATGGTCGAGTCCGTGTGTGCACACGCCGGGGGCCAGAATCTTGCCTTCCCCGCACTCGCGACCGTTGAGCTGGCCCTGCATGGCCCCCGTTTCAACAAGGACGTCGAGGCTCGCATCGCAGCAGTCTCCGTTACAGGTCTCGTCAAGGACCACGGCGAGCGGTATTGAAGACTAATAGGTCGGTGCGCTCAAGCTCAGCGGTGGCAATGTTATCTCATTCAGCAGTGGCACCCGCTTCATCGCGCAGTCATTCTCAAGATCAAATATAATAAAATTCATCCGCCACTGACCTTTGCGCAGGGGTCCCTCGTCGGGTCCCACAGCAGCAATATTAGTACAACTCTATCGTTCATACCTCTATGACTTCCTTCTGTCTGTGGTTGCGCCTCACCAGTACGCCGTCCCGAGAATACATTGTAAATTTGAGTTGTTGTGAATTTAAAACGATGCGCGCCGACTCAGTTTGACGCTTTTCACCAGTGCTGCTGCTTACCGAGGCCTTCAGTCATCGTTGAACTCCCCAGCGAGCCTTGTCAACGAACGATTATCAAGCAAGCAGCCACAGAATTGGAAAACTCCCTGTTATCCATCCAAAACGCCCGTGTCCTCTTTCAATCATATTCTTACAGGTCAGAGACACGCTATCATCGCCTGCCAGTCGCAATCGCGCCTTCGGCTGCGGAGACTCCTCGCGGCCAATCAAATTTTAGAAGCGAAAGACGGGAAAACACCGGTGGGGTCAATTCGTTACAGGTGGGGTTCTGGGAGACGCGGATGACGAGGGGCAGCCCGCGTCCTCCACGCCGCTCCTCTACCCGCACCGCGCGCTCCACGAGCACGGGCACGAGCCGTCGTCTTGCACCATCTCCATCTCCATCGTGTCCCGAGCGTCTTCGTGCCCGCTCCCCGCCCCTTCCCTCCTGACTCGTCAAGTGTGCGTGCGCGTTTGCGTGTGCAGCGTGGCAGGAAGAAAGGCGGTCCCCACAGGGGGTCGCCATGGCCGCTTCGATTCGCCGCGAGTGCTCCGAAGGTACGCGCCTCCTCGTCTCCTCCTCTACCCAGGCCCTCCCAGCGCTTCAATCGCGCGCGCCTCCTCGTCTTCTTGAGCGGGGGCGCATACACAGCCGCGCGCCGGCATTCGTGCACAGCGACTGTATGGAGTCTACGAATCAGTCAGCAAACGCCACAAGCCAAGACGGGCGAAGGACAAAGGACAAAGACGTACCCGTCGATATCTCTCCTTCCTCTTACGCGCGCGCCGCCTCGCAAGATGTCGTCGTGCTCGGGAGGGTGGCGCTCTCGCGCCTACGCACCGCGTCGACCCAAGGTGTGAAGGCCTTGCGTGCGTGTGTACGCGGAGCGGCAGGAAGAGCTCCAGAGGCATACGCGCCGCGCCAGTCCCGCGTCCCTGATCTTCGGCCTCTCCGACCGCGAAATCTTCCCGAGCAAGGTCAAGGACACTGCGCGCCGGCGAATGATCGAGCCGCGCACAAGTCGGTGGGATGCATCCTAGTAGGGGAGTCCCCAAATCAGTCCGCGCAAGATTCAATGTGCGCAGCGAATACACACCGTCATATTCCGAGATCCGCGTCTCCTTCCTCGTCCGCATCCTCGCCTTCGTCTGTCCGCTGCGCTGCGCCCACCTGCGCCTGAGATCCCTACACGCAGACCTCGGAGGATCCGACGATATGGATGGCCGGACGCAGAGATGTCAGCTGGTTCCGCAATCAGTACGAACGCACGCTAGGGGGAAGGACCTGCGTACGCGCCGCGCAGAGTCACGGTAGATATCGTGCTGGCGATAGCCGCCGCAGGCTCCGCTCGTCGTCCTCGTCCGAGGCGTTGTCCGCTCGAGGAGCCCCGGGCGCACTGCTCTAGCGTCTCGACGCGCCGGATGCTACCGCCAACAGTACACAAATCAGCTGCGAGAGGCGCGGAGGAGGCGTAACTGCGCACTCGTCCCTTGCATCTGCATCTGCGCCGACACCGCTGGCCGGCGTTCCTACGCGTACGATGCGAGACACACGCGAGAGTCCTCCCATGCGTCCTCGATAGATCTGGGATGCCAATCAGGAGAGCCTCACAAGACGCGTAACGTAGAGGACGACGCACCTGCCGCTGGTCGGCGGGCAGCGGAGAGTGCTGTGTGGACAACAGCGGTGGTGTGGACGCGGACGTCGTACGGTACTACGATGGGCATGTCGAAGAGACTTGAAGAGAAAGACAACGGGCGCTGAATTGCGATGAGATAAAGGTAATAAAGCTAAGGGCCTCTTCGTGATTCGCGTGTACTCGCGAGTGCTTCATCGGCGCCAGGATGCGTTCAGACTGGCTGGAGAGTTTGGGAGGAAGAGGATGATGTCACCAGGTGCACAGCCTTCGGTCTTCGGACCGACCCTTCCTGCCTCTTGCCTCTTGCTTCCGCTCAACACACCGCGCCATTGTCCTCCTCAAAAAAACCTCTCGCCACGCTACCCCTCGCGCGTCTCTTCCCGGAAGGTCCGCGCTTCTGCTTGGCAACTGCTTGATATTTTGGTTTCCTCACACTGAGTGCGGCTCATTTTTCTGGCTCGGACGCCCTGGCCCTCTGCGGCACATAGACAAGTCCTTTCTGCGCCGTGGAAGATGCTCACCTGTCCGGGTTCATAGATCCATAAATCATCGGACGTGGTGTACGGTGCACGGCCTCGCTCGTTAGGTGAGTGAACTGTAGGAGTTATACGAGGCAGATCGGGGTTCGACTCCCCGTGTCCGAATAATCGGGTTTTCTAGGAAATTTTCATTCGTCGCAGGGGAATATTGCTCACCTATCCACGTTCATAGGTGGGGAAATCATCGGACATGGTGTACGGTACATCGCCTCTTCTCCTATATTATCAGCCACACCTACGCGAGGCAGATCGGGGTTCAACTCCCCGTGTCCGAATAATTAAGTCTTCTCCCCTTTTTATTCGCCGCAGACTCGGAAACATATCTCACATATCCGAGTTCATGGGGTAGATAAATCATCGGACGTGGTGTGTGGTACACCGCCCCCACTCTTAGCTTTGATGCACTCTTAGCTTTGATGCAGAGAAGTTGTGCGAGGCAAATCGGGGCTCGACTCCCCGTGTCCGAATACTTGCTTCTCTGCTTTTTATCCACCGCAGGGAAAGATGCTCACCTCTCCAACCTCGCAGGTCCATAAATCATCGGACGTGGTGTAAGGCGCACAGCCTCTCTCCCTCAGCGGGACCCATCACATAAAGTATGAGGCAGGTCGGGGTTCGACTCCCCGTGTCCGACTACTTGGGTCCTCTGCTTTTTATTCGCCGCTGGGGAATATCGCTTACCTATCCAACTTCGCAGGGTATAAAAATCATCGGACGTGGTGTACGGCACACCGCCTCGTCTTCTGGGGAGATCTAGACGTTCCGCGGGGCAGAGCGGGGTTCGACTCCCCGTGTCCGAATACTTGGCTGGTCTGTGTGTTTTATTCACTGCAGGAAAATATGCTCACCTATCTAGCCTCGCAGGTACAGAAATCATCGGGCATGGTGTACTTAGCTCTCCTCTATTTTTGTACGCCGCTGGGAAATTTGAATCGCTCACCTATCCAAGTTCATAGGTACATAAATCATCGGGCATGGTGTACGGTACACAGCCTCCTCTCCTGTATCGCCACTATTCTTGTTGCAAGAGGCAGTTCGGGGTTCGACTCCCCGTGTCCGAAGACTTGCTTCTTTTCTGCTTTTTGTTCACCGCAATAAACCACCTATCCACCTTCGCAGGTAGATAAACCATCGGACATGGTGTACGTACACGTCCTCTGTCTTTGCACTGTTCACTTCGACAAGATGCCCGAGGCAGCTCGGGGTTCTACTCCCTGTGTCCGAATTGTTGGGTCTACTGGATGTTCTTTTTATTCGCCGCAGGGAAATATCTTGCCTACTTAGCTTCGCAAGCAGAGAAAGCATCGGGCATGGTGTACGGTCGACTCCCCGTGTCCGAATGAATCTGGTCCGATGTTCCTTCTCTTTTGAACCCGCTGTGAACTATTGCTCGCCTAACTCACAGGTTCAGGAATCATCGGACGTGGTGTACGATGCACGGCCCCTCTTGTCATTCACTCCGCCAACAGAAAAGGATGAGGTCCAGGCCCGTCGGGGTTCGACTCCCCGTGTCCGAATACTTGGTTCTTCTCTGCTTTTTATTCAGGAAAATATTGCTCACCTATCCAACTTTGCCCATCTAGATAGGACTCGGAGATGGTGCACGATGCACGCCCCCTCTCCTTTCGTGGAGTCATAAGCGCTGCGAGAGGCAATCGGGGTTCGACTCCCATGTCTGAATATTTGATAGTTCCATTTACTATTCGTCGCAGGGAATGGTATCTGCGAACTTGGCTGGGTGAGAATCATTCCCTGCAGCGCATAAAAAATGATTAGAAGAGCCGAGGGAGGATTCGGACACGGGGAGTCGAACCCCGATCTGCCTCGCGCAACTTCTCTGCATCAAAGCTAAGAGTGGGGGCGGTGTACCATATACCATGCCCGAGTTCCTCATCTGCCTTCGGAGGTGGACAGGTGAGCGATATTTCCGAGCGGGTAGAAGAACGAAGTATTCGGCCAGGCTATCTCGTAATTTTCTGTAAGCGGCGTTGGCCAAGAGAGTCTGCGTTGTACCGTACACCACGTCCGATGATTTCTGTACCTGCGAAGTTGCGTAGGTGAGATATTTTTGCAGTGGGTTAAAGAGAAAAAGCGGTGGCGGAGAGGAATACTTGGACAGGGGGAGTCAAACCCCGATCTGCCTCATACTTTCTGTGATGTGATCCGGTTCAAGAAGAGAGGCTGTGTACCATGCACCATCCGACGCTTTCTGTGCTTGCCAAGGTGGTTAGGTGAACGATATTCCGCAGGGAGTTCAAAAGAAAAAGCGAGCTGGAGGGGATGAACACTCGGACACGGGGAGTCGAACCCCGATCTGTCTGAGGAATTGCACTCGACGTCAATCCAGGATGCATGGCAAGCCTATGAGTGCCGTGGGTCGGCGCATAGAATGAATGCTATGGCTATATGCAAGATTTGGGGGTGGATTTGTTGACGAAGTGGGGGCACCGGGCCGGGCACGCACAAAGGACGAACGAAGCGTTGCCGACACTGGCAAGAAAGGACCTCAAAAAGGGGCCAGTTGGGGGGGTCAGAAAGGTCCCTCAAGTTGTTTATTAGCAGAAGGAACCTAAGCTACGACGCAGTGACACGGGCGGAGGGAGTGCCTTCGAGGGCGGATTATCATGCCGTGATCTGGCAGCGGACGGCAGGATAACTGCTGGATAAGGTCGCCGGCTGCCTTTTCAGGCCCAGATCATGACCTGATCAGACCGGCGTCTTATAAGGCTAATTTTATTGGTCGACACTCCAAAGGACTTCGGGCGGCTTTCGAAGGAAATTTGTGATATGTGAAGTCATCGAAGATAAAACCAGCCACAAACGCGGAAATCTCGGATGAGGACAAATAGGTGCACGCTGATACGAGGCATCTGCTTAATATACGCGCAATATTTCAGCCAATGAGTCGAAAAGTTCTCACGAGACATAGCAGATAAAGTTGTCACCCGCGATACGTGCTTGACAGACAACTACCGAGATGCCCCTTCATCCCACCATAGCTGCCAATGACATCTTTCTTCGGTGGGCTGGCTCGCGCAGGTGAAAGGGAGAAAACCAAAGAAAATTAGAACATCCAACCTCATTCAGGTCTAGAATGATGGATCTTCCGATGGCTGCCCAGCACGTCTTCTGCAACGCTTCATTGCTTACATTTTACCCGGATGGGTGCATCACAGGAGGGGTGCTCGTGCCAGTGCACTCACACGCCGGTCAATTTAGGTGGTAAGAAGTGGAGCAAGCTTCCCTCTTCTCCGTCCCTTTTAATTTCACATCGCCGCACGGTGCCGTGCGGGTATGCATAAGTTAATGTTTCGGTCTTGGTGGAGAGTGGCAGACAGCCCCACATGCTACAACGTCGGCGGCTGATCCCAGGGTCCTGCCGAGGTTCAATTACGCTCGAAGCGGTCTAGTGTCCGACGGGAGCAGTTTGTGACTCGTGCTGTAAGTCTCATCATGATATGTCGTTTGCCTACACCCTTAATTGGGTGGCTGAATCAGTGCTAGCGCGATAGGTAAGATACTTCAGCCAATGAGTCTAAAAGCTCTCACGGGACGTAGCAGATAAAGCTGTCACCTGCGATACTTGCTTGGTAGACAACCGCCAAGATGCCCCCTCACCCCACAGTAGCTCACACCCGTTTCGCCAATATCGTGACATGTTTGAGTGCTGCAATGACTACTTTGGAAGTGGTTGCGGAAAGCTTCAAGACTCCCTTCTTGGCACCCATCTCCAAGACGCTGCGGTCTCTGTTGACTACTGCACAGGTGAAGTCCGGAACAAATCTATCCTTGCCTCAGTGCTGACCCAGTCATCAAAGTCCATCAAGAGAAACAGGAATGACTGTACACCGATGCTAGAGCAAGTCTATGAGATCATCTACGGCATCATACACCTTCATGTAGCCTCCGGCGGCAATACCGGTGACGAATTATCATCAAATATGTTGGACAATTTGGGGGCACTCACTGGGTAATATTCCTTTGATTATCCTCACCAATACTCTTATATGTTCTTAGAACCCTGCACAAGATCCACACATTTGTTGAAGCCCAACAGGAGAAGAGCAGAATAAAGCAGTTCTTCCGTCAAGGTGAAATGGTCACATTACTCAAAGACTGCCATCGGGGATTAGAACAAGCACTTGAGGTTTTCAAGGTGAGTTCATAGTTGTTGGCTGTCCGATATCTTGTTCACAAAAGTCATGCAGATTCACACTGCTGATCTCTTGAGTGATGTCACGGAGATGCAACAATATGCACGGAAGACACATGAGGAAATCCTGGAACTCATTTCGTCTCTGTCCGATGGAGGAAGCTCCGACAGAGGATCTTCGGTGGGTTGATACTCCAAGTTGTTTGCCCCTAAACTCATTAACCCCTCTTGCAGATTCACATCGCTTTTCCTAGCTCCTACGACAGGTATGTGTATCCCGGTCTCATTACAGTCTGGGATTTTAACAGCTGCAAGCTCAAACTCACTTTCATTGTTGCCATCTGAACCCAAAATATTCCATGGTCGCAAATCTGAACTTTCCGCTGTCATCCAGATTTTCCACCGGACAATACCCAGGATTGCCATTTTAGGAGCAGGAGGGATGGGGAAAACAAGTCTTGCAAGAGCAATTCTTCATCACCCTGATATTTCAGCCAGGTATGACCAGCATCGAGTATTTGTGGCCTGTGATGCGGCATCAAGCGGTGTTCAGCTGGCTGCCCTTGTTGGTGCACATCTAGGTCTTAATCCAGGACAAGACCTCACTCGGCCCGTCATCCATTTTTTTGCCAACAGCCCACCTTCCTTATTGATTTTGGACAATTCGGAGACCATCTGGGAACCAAGCGAAACACGTGGGGACTTGGAACAATTTCTATCATTCCTCTCCGAGATAGATCATCTAGCACTGATCGTAAGGGGATGACCTAATTATTGCTGTTCATACACTCAGAAAATTATAGATCACCATGCGCGGAACAGAAAGACCGGCCAATGTGCAATGGACTCACCCCTTTTTGCAACCCTTAAAGCCGCTCAGGGAGGATGCGGCCCGACAGACCTTCATTGACATTGCAGACAGTGGTCATGCTCTTGAAGACATTGACAAAATTCTTGCCCTTGCTGACAACATGCCGTTGGCAATTGATCTATTGGCACATCTGGTGGACTATGAAGGTGTTACCAGCGTGTTAAATAGATGGGAAACGGACAGGACCACACTGCTATCTCATGGCCATGACAAGAGGTCGAATTTGGATTTATCGATTTCGCTGTCTCTTGCAAGCTCTCGAATCACAACCTTGCCACAGTCTCATGACCTATTGACCCTACTTGCCATTCTCCCAGATGGACTTTCGGATGCGGAACTTGTGCAAAGTAAGCTCCCAATTGCCAACATCCTTGCCTGCAAAGTGGCATTGCTTCGCACTTCTCTAGCCTATACAGATGACCAGAAACGGCTCAAGGTTTTGGTGCCAATCCGAGAATATATGCAGAAAACAAGCCCTCCGCTGACCGACCTCATTCAACCTCTTCTCACCCATTTTCAAAAGCTCATCAATATTCACGAGAAATATTTTGGCACTGTTGCAAATTCAGCAATGGTGGCTCAAATAGCATCAAACTTTGCAAACATTCAGAGTATCCTGTTAAAGGGTTTAAACTCAGAAAATCCGGATCTTGTCAAGACCATCTATTGCATATGCCAGTTTGACCGCTTCAGTGGAAATACTGGCCAGGGACAGGATTCAACTAATCCATCAGATCCCTGACGTTCTGCCGCAGCCAAGTAACCATAGGCTGGAGGTGTATTTCACAATACAACTCTTGGCAGGGCATTCGATCAATTCAATTCCCAATGCACAAGACCTCATAGACCAAGCTCTAGAACATTTGGAATACTTTGATGATACAGACCTTAAATGTGAGTAGTATGCTATTTTATTATATGTTTTTGATACCGAACAATTATCTTGTAGGCACATTCTATGCCAGCGCAGCAAATTATTGTCGGGTTCATCTCGATGGTCACGCTAGGGCGCTTCATTTTGCACAAACTGGACTATC